GAGTTTCAAGGTGTGGTAAACCAACTAGCCGGAATGAAGATGAAATTGGAGGATGAACTTCAAGCTTTGTTGTTGCTTTCCTCATTGCCCGACAGTTGGGATACATTGGTGGTTTCACTTAGCAACTCTGCTCCGGATGGAAAGATGACTATGGAGATGGTCAAGGCTAGTCTTTTGAATGAAGAGGCTAGGAGGAAAGAATCAGGTTACCATAGCCAAGCCGAAGCAAATGTGATTCCAGAATCTAGCAGGGGGAGAAGCAAGAGCAGAAATCCTCATTACAGAGACAAGTCCAGGGGGAGATCCAAATCCAGAAAGAGAGATTTCATTTGCCATTATTGTCAGAAGCCGGGTCACATTGAGAGATTCTACAGAAAGAAGAAGAGAGATATGTCCAGGGAGAGAAAAGATAAAAATGAGAATTCCGAGCAGAAGCCAGAAGAGAAGAACACTACAGCCTTGGCATCTACTGATGATGATTTGTTTGTTATCGGTGATCATGGACTATTAAATGTAGCCTGTGATGACTGCACCTAGGTGATTGATTCTGGTGCATCTTATCATATTACTTCACACAGGGAGTACTTCTCATCCTATATTAGTGGTGATTTTGGCCATGTGAGGATGGGAAATGATGGTTCGTCCAAGATCATTGGTATGGGTGATGTTTGTTTAGAGACTTCCACTGGTTGCAGGTTGGTGCTCAGGGATGTGAGGCACGTCCCAGATATCAGATTGAGTTTGATTTCAGCTGGTCTGCTTGATGATGAAGGTTATGCCAACAAATTTTGTGATGGAAGATGGAAACTCTCCAGGGGCAGTTTGATTATGGCTCGAGGTAAGAAGCAGAATTCACTTTATGTTATGCAGGCCAGAGTATGTAGCGGAGATGCCAATGTAGCAGATGATGTCTCCGGTGATTTGTGGCATAAGAGGCTTGGCCACATGAGTCAAAAGGGCATGCAGATCCTTTCCAGGAAAGATTATCTCCCCGACATTTCAGGTATGCCTTTAAACTCTTGTGTTGATTGTTTAGCTGGAAAACAACACAGAGTTGCATTTCACACTCATCCCCCACATAGAAGAAAACATGCTTTAGATCTTGTTCATACTGATGTTTGCTTTATGGATGCTAGATCACACCGTGGTGCACAATATTTTGTGACTTTTATTGATGATTTTTCTAGAAAAGTGTGGGCTTTTGTTTTGAAACATAAAGATCAGGTACTTGAAGCTTTTAAGGAGTTTCATGCCAGAGTTGAAAGAGAAAGTGGCAGAAAGCTCAAGTGTGTCAGATCAGACAATGGTGGCGAGTACAAGGGTCCATTTGAGAACTATTGCAAAAGTCACGGCATCAAGCTTGAGAAGACAATTCCAAAGACACCTCAGCTTAATGGAGTTGCAGAAAGAATGAACAGAACAATTGAAGAGAGAATCAGGTGTATGCTATCTCATGCTAAGCTGCCAAAGTCTTTTTGGGCGGAGGCAATGTTCACTGCCGTGTACCTGATTAACCTTTCCCCTTCAGTTCCTCTTGAAGGTGATGTTCCTCAGAGAGTTTGGTCAGGGAAAGATGTCTCCTATAAGCATTTGAGAGTCTTTGGTTGCAGAGCATTTGTTCATATTCCCAGAGATGAGAGATCCAAGCTTGATAAGAAGACGAAAGAGTGCATATTTTTGGGGTATTCAGAGGATGAGTTTGGGTACAGACTATGGGATCCACGTGATAGG